GACCTCAGAGGTTTATGGATGTAGTGAAGGAGGACACACAGAGGGGTGGCGTGACAGAAGAGGATGCTAGGGATAGGGTGAGATGGAGGCAGATGATCTGCTGTGGCAAACCCTAAAGTGAGCATCCAAAAGAAGAAGAAGAAGAAGAGTCTCACTGTATCCACAGCACGGCCTTGTTTCGAAGCTCTTGTGAGACAATCAGAGACACTGTTTGAACTAAGCTGTTTTTAAATGGTGTGTGCTGGATTTGAATGCTGATTCCATATGTGTTCTAGTTACCACTGTAAATAAAGTTATGGCGCTTTACTGTAGATAGAGGCTTCAAAGTAACTGTCTCGATTCATTCCAAGTTGGCTGCTGGGTTGTGAGACTTTCTTTCATAGCTCTTGTGATAAGGATCCAGAATACCAACTATATGACACATGTCTAAATCTGTTTTAGTACACAGAATCAAAAATCACACAGATTGCAATACAAAAAAAGCAACTGGACCATAGCCACTTAATGAATAAACATATCATATATGCAGACAGATTTTTATTTCATTAGTCAATTAGTTATTGCACTTTTACTCTTTTACCGAGGTCTCAGTTTTCCCATTATTCTTACCAATTTATTCTGGCAATCTTTCGTCACACCAAAGCTTAAATCAGCTGAAAAAGGTCACTGGTCTAAAATGTGCTTGATTAAGGGTCTTGTTTTTAAAAAAAATATTATTACAGCATATTAAATTTGCTTAACTTTGCTCGTTTTTCCAGCTACAACGGTAGGAAAGTAACAAGATGAGTATCTTTAATCTAATTGGACTCAAAATTTATGCAACCAATCACCTGAAAGGACACCCTGTACTTGTCAGTGAGAAGTGAGGCATACGCACGTGAAATTCAAGTAGCTCTTCTCTTTCTGACCTTAGTAGAAGGTCAGAAAAGTAGAATACAAGTGGTATAATGTGAAATGTCAGCCTGAAGTTGTAGATCTGTTGAGTACGGGGCCAGGAGCTGTCCCTGGGACAGAGTGTCAGAGGCAGGGAAACCAGGGCAGGACAATCCCACATGAGTTTCCTGAGCTCGGAGAGGAGAGCTTCTGAAAGCTAACTTCTGCGCTTTCGGGGGGTCAGCGATCAAAAGCAGGATGGAAGAAAGAAAGGACGAAAACCAAGTGAGGAAAAGCAAGAGGACGTTCCAGAAAATAGGGAGCGTGAGGTAGAGAGAGAGAAATGGAGAGAGTGAGATGGTCGACCCCGCGAAAGTGGTAGAGGCAGTAGAAATAGCTGCCCCACTTGTAGACACACTTTCTGTTGCTAGCAGACTGTCCTTGATGCACTGGGGTAGCTAACCTATATAGGCTTGCTCCATGCTGTAGCAATGCACTCTGTTACTCTTCCCCTCGCTTTTATGCACACATGGTGGGGTGGGGGGTGGAGCATGGCATAAAATCAGGCCACACATGCTGAAATCTACTGCTGAGTTAAGTCACCTGCATTGCTAGCCTAGCTTGCTAGCGGGCAACCAGCTGCTCCTCTAATTAAGGGACCATCTTCTCGAGGGGCTTGAACATATGGAAGGCTGTATAGCCAGGTAATATTCTTATAATAGACACCAAAGCCATACTCTGGAGTACTGGCCAGACTTCTTAAAGCTGGATGGACTCTATTAAGATGAAGAGATCGTTATATGATCCACGCCTATATTCCTTCCTTTACAGCGTGGTAAAAGAGTTTTTTGGAAAACTGCATACCTCCAAAGTACCTTCGATACTTCAATGAGCACGTTCAACGCCCATAAGACCTTTGTCCTACTGCTGTTAAACAGACCAATACAGCATGCTAACATCACTGTTTTCCACCTGCAGAGCAGATGAGACAATTAGTGGCACTTCTTGAATTAAAATGATTACCCGCCAATTAATCAAACCACTTCACCTCAGAGAGTGGATATAACTGAGTGAATCTTTAGAGATTGAATCTCTCTTTATATGCACTACATCGCAGGAACAAAAGCCGAACATATTTTTCACTACCTGGTGGTCCTGATGAGGCAAATCAAAGTGATTGTCTGAAATTAGTTTTAATGAAAAGAATTAAAAGCAATCAGAAAGTCAGGGAGGAAAAAAATATTAGAACTTGGGGTATCAAACAACAGTAACTGCTCAATATGCAGTCCCTTCGTCAGGACAAACAATGAGTAATAATTCAACTAAAGGCATGTCCCGTTAATGGCATGGCCATACTGATACGCAAATTGTGCCACACCAGTCATGACAACGCATAAAACACACAAACAGCAGCATTGATGAGTGAATTATACTGTATGAGGCATAATGCAACCTATTTTAAGTTACTCTGACACTTTCAACAGCATTTTATTGACACCGCTGTCCAAGGCCAGGACTAATGGCTACTTCGCAAAACAACCATACACACTTGCATAGGCAGACACATGGGCATGCATACAAATTTGCACACCAATACAACTGCAAACAGAGCGCCACACCTTTATTTACTTTAGCCTTGAGCACCAAAAAACTGCACATAGCTACTTCAGACTACATTTTGAGAAGTCCATTAGCCAGTAATGGCAAATGAAGCCAACAAACAGTGTCAGTGTGTGTAAAAAAAATGAAGTGAAGTAACCAACAGATGTCTACGACAAACAACTGATAGGGAGAATGATTGCAGGTATGGTAAAATTATAGGCTTCAGGATTGTATCATCCTACATATGTAGCAGTAAAGTAGCATTTTTCTGAGGCACAGCAAGGTCCCTGCCTTGCCTGCACCTGTTTTGGTGACTCACTGTGCATCACAGAGAAACAAAGTAGGGGGAGTGTCACTAGCAATCCTGCACTACACTGCAATTGTGGTGTCAAGATTCACAGAATTTTTCTTCTCTTAAGCCTGCCTGTGTGGACCTGGTCAGAAGTGCACTGCAGCTACTGTAGATCTGTGCTATTTTCGATAGCTAATGTGTGTGACAGACCTTTCAAAACCCTGTGTGAAAACAGGCATATTTGTCTTGTCTGTTTCACATTTACTTTCCATTCTCCCGACAACAGAAACATCTACTAGCACTACATGTTCATAGCCCAAAACAGCTCGATTTCCAGTCGGGTAAAGTAAATATCAAGGTTCTCACCAGTTATTTTGATTAAAGGCATATCCAATTATCTCATTACTTTACTCAGCTGGCATAAAAAGTAGGCATGTGTGTTCAATCTCTAATTTGAGTAATGACATTGTTAAAGCACAGATGCACAAATTATGAATGTTTTGTGGGGTTTTTGGACTACACTGTATCAACACAATAATCTGACCAGGTAGCCCGGTCTGAACTGTGCGAGGTGTTGATTTGGGTTAGGCAAGAAAATGGGGATCAGGCAAGACAATGAACCATTTTATGTCACAGAAAAGTGAAGTTGTATACAAAGGACATCAAAATTAAAAAACGCAGCTCTGTGGCTTCCTTGAAGTTCTAGTATAAGGTTCACCAGCTATTGTAACTAGCACGTTTAGCTGTGTGATAAACACATAAAGCCTTGGTTGCCACTATCTGTTTAAAATATTATCCCAAATCACCAGCTAGTGCCTCCTTCCTGATCACATTATAAGTGTAAAAGCAGGACTGAGTGAGGAGCAGTATCTCTATCAACAGATTCAAGATTTTATGATTCTATGATCACAAAATCTGACACTGCGACCACTGTAACGGGCAAAAAATATATCGTCCAAGCCGGGCACAAACAAGATCTTGATCCGCCGATGCCAAGATGTTACAAAGTCGAAATAAATTTCATAAATCTGACTACTTTAATATAGTAATATTCTACAGAGGCTTCAAGAGTACAGAGTAAACATGACAGGCTTTTGATGCAAAGCTTCTTAGGTTGATATTAGGTAGTGATGCAAAACCATATCTGTTGATTTAACTGTGTTTGTTGACTTTATAGCTACAGCAAGTGACTCAACAGTCTGCACTCCACTGTGTGTTATTTATTATTTTTAGCCTTGATTTAACAAAGTAGATTTTTCAATTAACATTCCACTCTCTGAGGTCTCTGCTTCTGGCTCTCATCTCTATGACTGCCATGTGTAGTAAGTGACAATAAAACTTAATAAAAATCAGCTGCTTTAAAACTGATAGCTCTGCATGATATTTTTTTTTTCTGTTGCTGAATATGTGGAGATGAAGGGACACTGCTGCTCATGCAAAACTGTTGTTTCTGTTACAATGTCCAAATAATGTATTTGATTTGCTCTCAAACGCTATCCTGTGCCAGTGTGTGTTGGGAAGTCAGTGCGTTGGTGGGAACACTGTGCACCTACTCACTCACACAAATGCAAAGCTTTCTCTCTTTAACAGTGTTTCTTGCCAACTTTATACACAGCAGGATTAAAGATATAAAGGAACCTTGAGAGCAGCAAAGAAGACGAGGGAAAAAAGTGTTTTAAAAGAAAGAAAAGAGTGACAAAGAAACAGACCCCAAAACTCTGCTCCTGTTTCCACAGGCAGCCATTTTTAGACAGTCATCCATTAAGTCTGCTATGTTCCCATACTGTCAGCCCCTAGTGAAGCCAAAGAGGCCATGTCAGCTGAAGGCGTTAGGCAGCAGGCAGGTAGGATGCATCACAGCACTCTGAGCACTGTGGGAATTGGAGGAAGAAGGGGCGGAGCAGGTAGTGGACTATAATATGACTGTCACTGCAGGAAAATATCTTCAGAAAAAAGTAAGATGGATTATAGATTTAGTTCAACATGAAAAGATGGTTTTTAATAGATGGAAAAGAAAAGGAGGGGCAGAGAGACGGCTGCTGTGACGCAGCATAAAATGCAATGATACAAATATGAGGATAGAAAAATAGGGAAGGAACGAGTTTGCACTGGAAAGTTAAAAACTGAGCGTAATTTTGTGACTCAGGTGTCTTAAAAGATAGTGTACAAAGCCCTGTTTGTGTGTCTGAGCCTCACAAAGCTAAAGTGTGCCTACTGTCTGTGAGTGACTCACCTCTGGCCCCATGTGTTCAGTCTGTGTTGTGCGGTCAGTCATTTGGCAGTCTTTCATCTTCAGGGCAGCTTTGGCACTCTCCTGCACAGAAAACAAACACACACCCATCAGCCGTGTCCAAAATTTCACAAAAAAAATAAGCGAGAGAAACATCAAATATATATAAATGAGAACAAGCACTCTCCCAGCAGACTTACGCCATTTCCTCCGCTCACAACACTTGGTACAGCTGGCTTGCATGCTTAGTTAGCTATCAAAAGAAAAGGAAAAACTGCATCTCTGAACAGCCTTAACCATTTCTTTCCTTTGGCTGCATTTTCTGGAAATCAAAGAGGTCGTAAAAATGGGCTGAATTGCAGGAAAACTTTTCTCCAGCCAAATATTGGAGCATGGACCTTCCACAAAGTGTACCCTCAGAGAAGAATTCATAAAAATTGACAGGTAGCACTGTCCAGCTCACTAAGAAGGTCCTTCTACTGGATAATTAATAGGCTTCCTCTGGCAGATTTACAATCAAAGGATAGAGAGAAAAGCTTTGGCTCTTTTTCTTTAAATGCAGAACTTTTACCTTGACCGGGAGGCTGCCGGCAACTCCGGTGTTACCCCTGTATGATTATTTTGAAAAAAGCAGGATGCGAGTCCTCTGAATGAAAAGAGCTGAGCACTACTTCCACCGGGAGCACTTTATGACGATGTCACTAATCATTCTGACATCTCTGCCCTACGCTGCTCATGGGTTACAGAAGAGAACGGTTTGAAAGGTGCAGTGGCTATGAAATATTGAGAAATTCATTAACCTTGATTAAAATTCATCAACCAAATTAGGACTAGGCGTAAGGACGGGTTTATGGTAAGTACTCTAGAATAAAATGAATTTATGTTATAGTTCTTAACTCAAATATATACTGTCTACTTCAGAGTGAGCACAAGTAAGCTGACAGATTGAGTTAAAAATCAGTTTTCATTAATCATGCCTTTGAATGCATAAAAAGAAAAGGAAGGCTTTCTGCAGCTAAATGCTGCAGTTGGAACACGGTCCTTCAACAAAATGCACCAGCAGAGAGAGAAGAAAACTCATAAAAAGTGACAGCTAGTGATGGCCAGCCAGCTAGCAGGTCCTTCTAGGAGATAATTAATAGGTTTTCACTGGCAGATTTACAGACGGAGGCAGAGCGAGGAGAGCTTTGGCTATGAGCTGCCCTTTCCTTCAAATGCTGCACTTTAACTTAGCTGCAGCAGGAAAGGTTTCCCTTTTAGACTCTCTTACACAAAGACAGGTACAGATCCTCTGTAATGTTCACGCACACAAACTGCACAACTTCATAAATGTGAAGCAATGCCAATGCCCAAGGGCGTATGGGGCAGATAAAACAGGGCTAGGCTGTGGATGCAGTGCGGATGAGAGTTAGATTATTATTATGCAAACAAACACGCAGACTTGTTCTCGTGACATCACACGAGCTGTATATGTTTGGAAATCGTATCCAGCTGGTTGCGGGAGCCAAAACATCTCTGTCAGTGAGAAGTGCCAAGCAGATGAATACACACTGTCAGCGGTGATCCGCATCTGTGTGTGTTCGAGCATGCAAAAGCAACCGCATACCCTAAACTCTGAGTGATAGAACCATGTGTGATCTAGGAGAATAAAATGAGAATGAAAGAGAAGAATTTTGATAATCCCAGCAGGAAAATGTCCCCATGTAGAAGCAAAGGAAAGAGAGAGAGGGAGGGAGAGAGACAAAGAGTGAAAAAAACAAGCAGAAAAGAACCATAATTATAGATTCAGGTGTAAAGTAAATACAAGAGGAATGTGATTAAATTAGATAAAGACTTGGACTGTTTTATGAATAGGTCAGGTGATATTCTATATTTCCGTTAGTATGATAAGTAAAACTCAAGTAAAACTTTACCCAAGTTGAGACCTCAAACTTTTGCACAGTTTTAAGTCACAGCGGGAGTGTTTCAGTAGCAGATCGTGAAGTTAGCATAGGGTCATTTCTTTGTGGGTCTTCAAATTAGGTAAGTACAACCTCAGATGAATAAAAGCAGGTGGAATATTACACTGTGTGATTATTTATTCAGAAAATTAAGCAAAGTCCTGTGAAAAACTATGTACTCCTTCAAAAGGAATTATGAGGGTAAGTAGCACCCAGGTGCTGCTAATCAAATGCACTTGATTAACTGATCATCACCTCTATAAAAGCACCAGTTTTGCCTGTTTTCTGGTCTGAAGCATTCAGGTGCTTTAACATGATGCCAAGAAGGAAAAACTTCAGCAGTGATCTTGGAGGAGGCAATTGTTACTGCCCATCAATCTAGGAAGGGTTATAAGGTCATTTCCAAACAATTTAAAGTCCATCATTCTACACTTAGAAAGATTGTTCACAAGTGGAAAACATTCAAGTCAGCTGTCAATCTTCCCAAGTGGTCATCTCGGTGCATCCACCCCAAGGTCAGACCTGCTGTGCTAAAAAATAAAATAAAATAAACACCCAAGAGTTACATCTTAAGGTGGATTTATGGTATTGTGTTTGTGTCTGGTTGTGCCTATACACAGCTTTGGAGACCGTCGTCTACGTGTGGTAGCTGTTACCAGTGATCAACGTCACAAACAACTGGTTTGACTACTCTTGCTTTACACAAAGAGCTGAAAAGTCCACTGCAGCCACTGACTTTGCCATGCTGTTTATTTTAATATTTGATGTTTTTCACACTACTTCCATTTGAGCTGAAGTCTTCTTCTACTCCGCTTCCTGCTCCACCCTACTTTTAAACCAGTCAGCACAATTTGAGAAAGACTGGACGTATGACTTGTGTGGAAGGATTGTTCTGCAAAGTTGCATCTGAACGACTCAGAAGATATCTTTTTCCAGTGGAGATGTTTAACAATAAATCACAGCACTACATATGACCAAAACAGAAGAGGATATCAACGCCATGATACATCGGCAATATCAACATGTGGAACAACTAACACGCAGAGTGAAAAAACAGACCCCCTTTTGCTATATCGCGAACAATTAAACCTACAAACAATCTAGAGTACAAGATTTACCAAAAGGTTTTTTTATTTATCTACTTTTTCCTTTATTTCCACTCAAATACTGAGCATGAGTGTGTTAAATATTTAATCATAACACATCTTAGCTGTAGGGGAACAGACTCATTTTGGTAATATACATTTTTTTGTAAGCAGCAAACATTTGACCAAACAGTTAAACTCTAATTTATTGAGGTCAGTTGTCCCATTATCATGACTGAGGGGGGATATGAAGGAGGATGTAGATCCCAGTGCAAAGGCATTCAATAATAGGGTAGGTCCAAAAATAATGTATGGGAGAGGGAGTGTGAAACACCGATGCACAGAAGAGAGACCTGTGAATAAATGTGTTTTATTTAGAAGCTGCAATGTGAAAAGGCTTAAAAAGGTGTTTTAATGTGTGAGTGTTAAGTCTGTTACACTGCCCATCAACACAAATTTCAGAGAGGAACATTGACGTTACACGTAGCCTACTGCCTGTCTGCCTGCCTGCCAGCCAGGCTGCCTGAAAATTGCTCAATTTTGACATTAATTCGACATTAGATGCGCACAGCACTGAAAACAGCACAGTGAGAAAGAGGAGAGAGGGGGATAGGTGTTGCTGACAGAACGCCAGAACGCGAAAAGACGGGAGCGAAAGAGAGAAAGACTTGGGGGGGGGGGGAAAATAGACGCATGTTCCAGAGAATGATCAAACAAACAGATGCCACATGAGACTCAAGTCTGGGTTAGACTGGCATCTCTTACAATACCGCTACAACATTGGCACATTATTCTACTAAAGCCTGGCACAATGTCTGCATTGCATTACATCAACAGAATAGGTGACAAATTGCAGACATTTTAATGGCATTTCTGCAGATGATCCAACAATCACGCTCCAGAGGACAGGAAGGAAGAAAAAAAAGGAAAACACTGTCAAGACGATACATTTTGCATTTACATCTCTATATTTCAAATAAATGGTGAGCACATTTAAAATGGAAAAGTCGTTGCTTCGCATCTTATACCTCTCGTTTGGCGGGAGTCCCAATAATTTTTTGTCATTACATTAAGCTGGCGTGAACGAGCAGTTTACATTAACGAAGACAGGCTTTCTGCTGTTGATGCTGTGACTTCAAGCCAACTATAAAACCATTCTCACATAATGTACTCTCTCTTTTATGGTCAATCTTTTCTAGAAGATCTTAAGAAGATGATAAACTGACAAAGCGATTTTAACAAAAGTTACACTTTCTAGTCCTTTGAAATCCATATGGGTTTTTTTTTTGGTTAACATTTCTTTTAAAAGTTTGAACCCTTAAAATGTGCTTCAAAGAAAATTTGTCTTTAATTTATATCCTTAAAACAAATAATTCAAACACATTCAAGCTGTTTTAATTATTCATATCAAAGTTCCAAAAGACAAAGATGAAGAAAAAGACACTGTGATAGAGATAAAACACAATATATGAGCAAACCTTCCATGTCTCAAACTTTGAGTTGCTTCTCTTATCACCTACAAAGACATTAGAGTATTTTTTGGAAGGGAAAAATAAATATTTCACCTCACTGGATTCATTTATATTTACTAAGGGCATCATCAGAAGCTGTCACTTACTGTCATTTTATTTAACTTTTTTCTTGTGCAAAAAAGAAAGGAGAAAAAAAACCCATGCCACATTGCAAAAGAAGGAACTCGGGCATCATTATCATCAAAAGTCTACATAATGTTTTGAATTACTTTTAGAACTAAGATCTTACCAGTTCGCTCTGGAGTTTCATAATCAGCTCATCTTTCTCTCTCAGTTGTTGCAGCAAGGCTTCCTCTCTGCTGGGATCCTGAACACAAGAAACAACAAACCATGTTTAACATTACAGTTTTATCTAAGGGACCATAAAGCCACCAAAGCAATGCATGCAGCCAAAAGTACATTACAGGGATGCTTCTGTGTGTTTGTCTTTGTATGTGATTCTCGGAGAGTTTCTGTGTGTATCTGCGGGTCTTTCACGTGTACTTATGAGTCTGTTGAGTGTTGCGATTCTTGCTGAGCCCTGTGTTTGTGTAATAAAGTTGTCATGCGGTGCGTTCTGCACGACTGTGATCTCCTCTTCTCTCTACATCACGGCGATAAACTCGTTGTGTCCTGTGGCAGCGCCCCAGAGCACACAGCAGTTTTTATTTGACCTTGTGTTGTCAGGGGATGTTTTTTTTTTTGCAGGGAAGATGAAGAGAAGCTCCAGAAGACATAGAAAATAATTAAACTAATGGAAACAACTTTATTCTTATGGCACCTTTAAAAACAATTTACAAAATGCTTAAGGGCAAAAGAAAAGAAATTATGAATGGTTGCGAACATGTCTTACCTTAAAATCTGGTTGATATTTATGTTATAATTGTGCCGCTGTCCTCATTTAACAGTGTTAGTCTCATTTATCCAGTGCAAAAGTGAACAAAATAAATAAATAAAAACAATATAATCAAGTAAAATTAGTTGACGTGGAATTTTTTTTTTTTTTAAAGCAAAAATGTAAGCGTGGCGCTTCCTTTTCACTCTCAGTGTTTTCAAATGCCTAGTCATCTTCAGACCCTGCCTACAGTCAACAGAGAGCTTTGAGAGGATGGCTCATGGGGAAGTCAGAAATAAGATATAAGGCACAACAGTGTTCGCTAAAAATATTCAAGTTAAGTCTGCAACAGGCAGTTAGTTAAAATGTGGACAAAGAGCGACGCAATGTGAAGAGAGAGGGAACAAGAGAAAGGGGATAAGGAAGTGGGAGGAAACGAGCAATAAGATAGAGAGTGCAAAATGACAGGCAGATTGTCATTACCTCTTCAAGGACATAAAAGCAGAAGAGGAAAAGAGGGGCAAGATAACAGGAGGAAAATGAGGGGGAAATGTGAGAAAAGGGGGACATTGATAGAGGAGAGGACAGAGAGGCCCTGAGGCTGAGCATGATGGTCTGAAACCACAGGGAGCCATCTAGCTAAAGGACACGCAGAGTCAGAGGGAGACCACAGGGAACCATATAGCTACATCGTCGTCCTTTAAATGACCTCTGTGATGCAAAAAAGACCCATCGAGCCTGACAATTTTCTTCAAGTCACTTCAAAATTCAGAGAAGTAAATATGGAACCTGTACGGTGAATCAGTACTGAACACCCCCGGGGATCGAGGGCTAGAAAAAAAATATTTCTGTAAGTCTGAGTCTGTGTAAGAAAAAGGATTGTGAAACTGTAAAGATTCAACTTTTTCACCCTTTACGTGTAAACCATGAGGAGGTTGTAATCTGCCTGATCACTGTAGAGTACAAAGTTTTGTATTGTACATGTTGACACTTATTCATTCAGTAGCTTTGGTTGACCCTTTGAGACAATTGTGACTTAATCAAGGGGAAGCTGGATGGCTGGATGGATGGATGGATGGATGGATGGATGGATGGATGGATGGAGGGATGGATGGATGGATTTTTGGCTGACAGACATTTTAAAAATAAATGAATGAGTGTGCTGTATCCGTGTTATCTGTAAAGATTTTTTTAAAGTATGTATAATATCTGATTGTTTTGGCTTCATGGTTTATGGTTTTCTGGCAATCATTTGTGGTTCTGGGTAATATAAATGAATTTTCAACACCGTATCTTTAAAAAGGGAAATAATTTAATGTTAATATAAAGTTTACTATGTAATGTTTTGTTTCGACATCCAGATAATATTCTTGCAGTAGTGCAGAAAAGAAAAACTCGCATGTTATCTTAGCCAGTCTGTTTTTCTGATTGGCTATAACACAAAAGTGACAAACAATGGTAGAAGTGCCAGACTAAGCACAATTTGTGCTGTTGCACAGTGAATAAAGTTAAGGATATTATGATGTACGCGAGGTGTTGTATGTAGATGGGTGATGTATGTGTCAGTGGATGTACGTGAGGGCATAAGGAGGGAGAAGACTAGGCTGTTAAAACAAAATTAAAGAAAATATAATAGGAAAATAATAGTAAAAGGGAAAAAAACTAAAACTATTGAAATGTGATAAATATTTAAACAAAAGGATCACACCAAATGCTGTTAATCTTTTCAGGTAACCATTCACAGTGTTCCCTTGAGGTGTTCCCATTGAAAAGTGCCAGAAATTGTGGTGAACAAAACAAAACAAAAAGAAAAGAAATTTCACAGCATTCTTGCTTCTTCAATTATAAAAACTTGGCCAATCATGAGAGGTCGAGTCCCAATAATTTTGGCAATTAAACAAAGTGGGGGGAAATAGATGTTTTTTGATCTTTGCGTGATAAGCTTACAGTTACAGAGGTGGTGAGAAGGTTTCACACTGTCTGCAAAGTTTTTAAGGTGTTTTTTTTTTTTAACGGCTTCTTTATTTTGCAAGTCTAATTGATGTTGAAGTGTATGCAGGGGCCCTTACCTTGGCACACGATAATGGTCAAGGAGGACATAACTAAAAGCTTCACTAAGTGCTTCCACGGTAATAAAACCTATAAAAGAATACATTTTCCACCAGGAAATAGAAAAACAATTAACAAAAACAAAGCCCAGTGGTGTTAAATCAGAATGCACTCTGTTTCCCTGCCTTTGCAGGGGAGATAACAGTATTTATAGATAATAAGGATATTATTTTCCTACTAAAGAACACACATACACACACACAAATTACTAACATGAGATTTGGATGGGACTGAAAAATCACTAACATGCTGTGACAATTACTACATTAGTCAGCCTCTAAAATTAATCTCACCCGAACAGGACTGAAGGCTGCACTAAATGAGCTGTCTGGCTACAACGGCACAGTTGGTATCCCTCATTGTCTTGTGTGTGCATTTCTATGTGGCTTATCTGCAGCTTTTAAAACTGCATGTATATGAGTAGTTATATGAAATGCTGAGAACAGGCTAATGACTAAATCCAGGGACACTTTATTGACTTCGTCGGTTTGTTTACGACCCAGAAAACACCTTAGGAGTAGAAACGGAAGAAAGACATGCGAGAGGGTATGTGAGAGAAAGATAAAACGAGTGATAAAGAAATACAGCAGCTTAATATAATCTCACAATATTGCATCTTAACCGCTGAAAAGATCCGTAGAACTCTGCTCGCAAAGAGGTGACCAGAGCGTTAAAGTCAAACGCTCGTGGAGAGTTCCTCTAAGAAGATCTGCCTTTTCAGTTCAGGCCATGAATGAGTGTAACAACAGACATGACAGTCTGAAGAGATGGTTTGATATTCAAATTTATTTAATGTGTCATGTCCGTACTCAAATGGCCAGCACAGTCACCAGACCTGAATTCAATATACAATCCAAGGGATGAAGTGGAACAGGAAATTTGCATCACAGATGTGCAGCAGACAAATCTGCAGCAACTGTGCGATGCTATCGTCGTGTTGACATCAGTGTTGAGACTAAATCCAATGCTTTATTGACCTAATGGGCTTCTTTATAGGACTGACACCTTGCGAGTATAAACAGAAGAAAGGAGTTATTGACGAGAACAGGGTTATGATTAAATCCAGGGACACTTTACTGAACCAAAATCTCTGAAGAATGTTTTCATCACATTGTTGATTATAAGCCACTAGAATGAACGCAAAGACAAAAGGGGTTCAACCCAGTACTGGCAAAATGTACCTAATAAAATGTCTGGTAAGTGTATACTGCACTTATAAATGCAGCAATAAATGATTTAGTCTACAATAATTCGTGGACATAAGTGGATGGCTATTGGCTGAACACGTGAAAGATTTTTATGCAATATTATCTTCCTGTTTCTTTATTCCCCTTTTAAACTTCTTTATAGTAAAACAAAGAAAAAAAATCTATTTTCATTTTATGTCTTGGTGTGGTGAAGGTGATGGCATGGCATAGTTCATACACAGGCCACAAATCATCCAATTTGTATCTACTACCTTTATAGTTTGGTTTGGTCATTTTTGAACAGTTATACATTTGTCACAATTCTTCTCTGTACTTTTACTGGAAGGCAGACCTCAGCTTTACTTGAACAGAAATATTGCATTAATCCCTGAGGAATTACAGTGCAATGCAATTTTTATCCACGGCCCCTGGACATGCAGAGCCAAGCAATGCCAGGGCAGTGCACATACAAATAAGATCTCAATGTGATGAGCACATTTAAAGCTAAAATGAGAAATTTTATTCTGCTCGCCGAAAGAAGCGCCATAAAGTGCATTCAGTCACCCATCAGGTGGCATTCAAACCAATTTTTCAAGGCAGAATAGAATGGAGAACCCATGGCAGAAAAGTGGGGCATACAAATTTATTTCTAATGTGAACAGAACAGCCTCGGTGGGGCTAAATCTGATCAAAATCATTGGAGTGCATCCACTTTTGCAAAGAGATGTGATTTTGTAAAGCATTTGAGGCTCTCTATGCATGTAATCAGCAGTCAGTTGAAGAGGGTATGGGGATGAATTTTATTCCTCTTGTTACGAGAAATGATTCAACTTTTTTATTTTTTTTGGGAAACATCATTGAGAAAATGTGCTGGTTGTTTGTCAATTAGTCAACATCGAATTTTCTTCAATTTCTTTAACAAATTGGAGTTTTCTTGATATTGATGATATGGGTGTAAGCAAGAACAACATGACAAAATGCCTTCTCCGTGTTATCTTTATACCAATTTATCCAGCATTTAACCCTAACCTTGCACTTTAACTATGAGTGTTGGAGAATTAAACTAGCTAAAATGTAAAATGTAATAATAATAACTGACCACACCTGGAGTCTTACAATTGCACCACAGTTTGCCATAAGAGGGTCTCCCGGACAATTTATTTTTAGCAGGACTGCAGCATACACATGTTGGGAAGG